CAACATCTCAACAACAGCAACAACAACAACAATCGCCGCAGCAGCAACAACAACAGCAGCATTGTCAGCCATAAAACAAAGGAAACACTTACGATACCGCCTTGTTTGTATTGAAAAGCTTGTACACGCACACACACATACACATACAGACACACGCACACACACACACAGACACACATGCAAACATATGTTCGCGGAGAAAATGGTGGGCGATACTTTTTTAAGGTATAAAAATATAATGGCTATCAATTGAGACTCCACCGATAACAACGGAACCATATTACGATAAGTAATACCACTACAGCTGCTGTTGCTGCTGCTACCACCACAACCACAGCTGCTACTAATAACTCTCTCAAAAGTCTCTGGTGAAAGAATTCAAGGTCGCAAAAATTAAGTTTCAATTAATGTTAAACAACTCAGCTGATGAGTGTGTGAAAAAGTGAAGGCATCATTAAAAACATGGACAAAATGGAACGCAGAGTAAGAAATTAAAGTCGGAAGAGTTTGTGGGAGCCGTTCAAGGTGCAGGCCGTGGTGTGGGCTGGTTTTCAGACACGTGCTGGTCAGAGAAGGAAAGGATATTTTTATAGCATGGAAAAAATTTTTTACTCATAAAAAGTATTTTCTACAAAGTTTTTTTTTCTACAAAACAACTTGCAAAAAAATACAAACACCGATAAAAACATTGACTTTATATGATAGACGTACGTCCATGTGTATAAAAATGTGTGTGTATATATGTGTGTATGTATACGTATGTGTGTGTGTATCTGTATGTGTGCGTGTGTGTTGTGTGTGTGTGTGATTCGTTTCATTGCTTATCGGCTTACTCGTGTTTACAGTCATTTGATGTGAGGCTAACAAACGCAAAGTGGACTAAATATGCTATTTCGCTCTTCTCTCTTTCTCTCTCTCTCTCTCTCTCTCTCTCTCTCTTTCTTTCTCTTTCTTTCTCTTCTCTCCATATTTTTCAATCCATCAGAAATACTCTTTCATTTCCCCCCCCCCCCTGCTCTCTTTCCATCTACAATG